TGTATTGTTTATATAGAAACTTGTTCTAATGAAACCGAAGCATATTGTCATACTATTGATTATGATTATGACGCGAAAAAGTTAACTATACTACTACTGACTGTGATTACGATATATTTATCTATTTACTCTTTTTACATACATTTTATTTTGTACTAAACCAAGGAAAATGAAAGCTTGGGATGAAGAGTTTGGCCGTTTGGGATGACGAGTTTGGCCGTTTGGGAGTTTCGTGTCGGTGATATAGTTTATTTGTCTGTCATGAATCGTGATGTTAGTTGGATTATGTCTAAACTTCTGTTTACTTTTAGATTGCAATTTAATACATTTTGTTTGTAATTGGGTTGGCCATGGTGAGAAAATTTGAGCTTTGTTTTGGTTTGATTGTGTTCAATCATGTTTATGTGGTCAAATATACTATTTTGGCCATCTTTTTGTGAATACAATTCCAATATTTAGTCCTAGTTTTGTCATGATTTGTTCTCTAGTTGCTGCCACTTTAATTTTTGTTTGAGAAATTTGTGTTTTTCAAGGTTCAGGTTCGGGTAGGGTCAGGTTGGGTTTTAAGTATAACCAACGGGTAACGGTGATTTTTATCCTTAATGGGTTCCCCAACGGAGATCGCGGAAACCATGGGGACCCGGTGGGGATCCCCGATAAGATCCTCGATGGGGATGGGGACAGTTACGAGGATGGTTATGGTTAACAATTTCGGGGATGGGGACACTAAAAATCGGCCCAAAACCTGCCTGTTGCCATTCCTAGGAAGATTCAGTTCATGGAAGTTCAACCATTGGCATATGTAGATGTTGATCTAGAGGTCAAGGTCGAGCTCAGAATCCAGTCTATGTTACGCAAGAAGATTTGGCCGCTGAAATAGGCAAACTTTAGACTGCACTGCAATCACTGTTAAAGCATCAATCACATCAACATATTGAAACTGAAAAGTATTAAGAATCATGATGCTAATGAAGGAACTGAAGTGAATGGACCAAATGTTATTTCTTCATATAGTTAACCAGTCTTCTTACCATATGATACTGCTGTTCAGAGAGGGTGTGATTACAAAATATCTTTGTCATGTAAACCACCAACTTATTCTGGTGATAAATATCTGGTTAAAGCAATGCGGTATTTACGAGAGATAGAAGCCATCTTTGACGCCAACAAGTGTTCAATTGACAATTGTGTCATATTTGCAATAGTTGTGTTGAAGTCCGATGCATTTTTTTAGTGGGACATATGGATGGCTTTCAAGGGTTCGAGTGTTGAAAAAGGAATTTCTTGGGAGTCCTTTACAACCGAGTTAAAAGAGCATTTCTGTCCAGAGGTAGTAGTAAGGCAGTTCGAAGAAGAATTATTAAGATTGGAACAAGGCAACATGACGGTTCGGGAATACGCCTCGAGATTCTTGGAAAAGTTCTATTTTGCATAATTGTATGTATCCACTAAGTCTCGTGGAGTAGAGAGGTATTGGGACTGAAAGCTTCTATACGAGAACTTGTTATGGTTATGAGTCCTATGACTTTCCAAGCTGTCATGGATGCTGCAAAGATGACAGAAAAGGAAAAGAATCTTCAGTATGGTGAACGTGGGAATGAGAAACGAAAATGGGATGAACCACCAAATGATTTGAGAAGACCAAAGTTTACAAGGTTTGATAATAATATGAATTAAAGATAAAATGAGAGGTTGTACCCTAAATATCGTTGAATGCATCAGGGTGAATGTAATGCATATATAAAGACTTGTTTAAAATATGGAAAATTAAGTCATGTTGCAAATAAGTGCCGAGCAATGAGGTTTTGTTATCACTATAATTATCCGAATCATATCAAACCATAATTGTTGAAACTGAGGGGTCGGGGAGAAAATTACTTTGGCGGAGGCCAAGGAAATAGGGGGAAGCTCGGAAAACTTGAGTTGTTTAAAGCTACGAGCTGTCCATTCTAGATGACTACTGTAGAGACTGAGGAGAAGCCAAATATGGTAGCAGGTACGGTTTTGATAAATTTTGTTTATGCTAGATTGTCATTTGATTCTGGTGCAAATCCTTCCTATGTCTCTCCTTTATTTATTAGGTGATATCATGCAAAACCTAATCCCTTGAATTATGCTTTGGTAGTGAAAACCGCTAATGATAATCGAATCACTATTAGTCAAGTATATGAGGATGGTAACATATATATGGATGGATGTGCAATATCGTTATAGTTATTTCCTATAGCATTGAAATAATTTGATGTAATAGTAGAAATGGATTGGTTGGCAAGAAATCACACCAACATAGTATGTAAAAAAAACCCTGATTAGGGACCAGTTATAATCTATGGCGGCCTTCAAGACCAGAGGCTCGAAAATGTGTAAAGAAAAAGTGTCAAAGTTTCTTGGCATACGTTATAGATGCATAGAAATAAAATTTGTAAAGATAAGAGCATATCGATAGTGAGAGACTTTCCAAAGGTTTTTCTAGGGGATTTAATAAGTCTTCCACCAAATCGTTAGATCAAGTTTAGAATTAATTGGTGTCAGAGGTTTCACCTATAGCTCGTGCACCATATCGTTTAGCACCAACCTAAATGAAAGAAATGATGTCTTAATTGCAAGATTTGCTTGATAGGAGTTTTATAAGACCTAGTACATCTCTAACGGGTGCACTGATTCTAGTTCTAAAGAATAAACATGAATCTATGAGAATGTATATAGATTATCGTGAACTTAGTAAACTGATTATAACGAACAAGTATCTACTTTCGAAGATCGACAATCTCTTTGATTAGTTGTTTGGAGGAAATTATTTTTGAATATAGATTTACGATCGGGATATCATCATCTTAAAGTTCAAGAGAAAAATGTACCAAAGACAGTTTTCGATACAAGGTATGTGCATTATGAATTCTTTGTGATGCCATTTTGATTGACTATTGTACCGATAGCCTTTATGGGTATGATGAATATGATGTGCAAGAAATATCTTGATAAGGTTGTTATCGTCTTCATCAATGGGATCTTAATATACTCATGGTCAGAAGATTACCATGCTCATCATCTTCATTTGGTACTTGAACTTCTTAAACAAGAAAACTATTTTGCTAAATTATCCATGTGTGAGTCTTGGTTGCTGGAAGTTTAGTTTTTGGAACACATTATTACAGAGAAGGGCATGAAGTTTGATCCAACTAAAGTTGAAGCAGTCAAGAAGTGGGAACCACCAAGATCACCGATTGAAGTGAGGAGTTTCCTCGGATTGGCTGGTTATTACCATAAGTTCATAAAAGACTTCTCTCATATAGAGACTTCACTAACCACTTTAAGTTTGAAAGAGAAGAGTGGAATGATCAAAATGCTAGATTTACGGGCTAAGTTGATACTGAATATCTTCGAACAGTTAAAGAAGTGCCAAGTTGAAGCCTTAAAGGAATAGAATCTAAAGAAAGGATGACTTATTGGTATTTCATCCACTCTAGTTTAGGATAGTCAAGGGTTAAAGTGTTTTGAAAGTAGGATTTAGGTTGCCCACCTTAGTGATAACCATGGAAAAGTATTGAAAAAGCCCACAAGTCTCTTTATTCAATTTATTCGGGCACTAATAAGATGTACGGGACCTTCATCAATTCTACTAGTGGTCGGGTATGAAGAAGGATATAGCACAGTGTTTGACGTGTCTAGAAGTCAAAGTGGAGCACCAATGACCTTATGGTAATCTACAATTACTGGACATTACGATATGGATATGAGATCATGTTACTATGGGATTCGTGATAAAGTTGCTTAGAATACCAAGAGGTTCTGATACAATTTGGGTAATAGTAGACAGGCTTTCTAAATTCTCTCACTTCCTACCAATCAAAGAAACCTATTCAATGGAGAGGTTAACAAAATAATATATTGATGAGTGGTATCTTGGCATGGGGTGCCATTATCGATAATCTCATATAGAGATAGCCGATTTACTTCCATGTTTTGGAGAAGTTTATAACGATAAATGGGATCTCAGATTAAGTTAAGCATTGTTCTACCACTTGCAGACTGCGGTCAAAGTGAGACAACAATTTAGACACTCGATGATATGTTGCGTGCTTATACCATTGACTTTGGAGAATCGTATGAAGCGCATTTACCTTTGATAGAATTTGTTTATATCAACAATTATCATCCCAGTATTCAGGCTTCCTTCTTCGAGGTTCTCTACAAAAGAAAATGCAAAACACCGTTGTGTAAGAATGAAGTAAAGAAAAACAGTTGGCACGGTCGGACATTGTTTAGTTAAAAACAGACAAGATCGAACAAATACCTAAATGACTATATATGGAACAAGACCGAAAAATAATTAGGTAGACAAGCGTCGTAAACCTATAGAGTTTCAAGTGGGGAATAGAGTAATGTTGAAAATTTCACCTTGGAAAAGGGTAGTCCATTTTGGTAGAGGGAAATTGAGTCCGTGTTATATTGGACCCTTTGTGAACAGTGACCAAGTTGGTGAGGTAGATTACAAGTAGGAACTTCTGGAAGAGCTATTGTGATTCACAATACTTTTCAGGTATCTAACTTGATAAAGTGCTTAGTTGTTTTGATGAGGCGCTATCTTTGTAAGAAATTCAAGTGGATGAGAAAATAAACTTCATTGAAGAACCGAAAGCTATCATCGATCACAAGGTTAAAAAGTTGTGGTATATGGAAATTAACCTAGTGAAGATTCAATGGCATTATCACAAGGGACAATAAGCCACCTGAAAATCGGAGACGAAAATGAGATCCAAATACCCTCATCTATTTGATTGAATGAATTATGGGATAAAATTTCTTTAAGGGGGAGATATTGTAATATCTCAAGGTATTGGGTATTAATAAAAGTGTAAGTTCAGGTTTTTTTTGGTAAACATTAAATCGGGAAGGTTTAGGTTGAAATGTTGAGAACTTACTTGAGAACGACTCTCCTTCTCATTTGCTCCAAATATCGTAATATCTTAAGGGGTGTGGTTTAAAAGGAATCCTTTGAGACTTTGGAGATAATCGACCAAGAGGAAGAAATCTCTGGAAAAAAAATTGTGGCTAAAATTTTATCAAGAGGTATGAATCTTCACGTTGTTCCTTTTCAAGTCTAGGGTTACTTTAGATTCTTGATTAGAGGTTAAGGTTATTGGGTTATGTCGATTTTGGTGTTTTCTCATAGCTTTTGGTTGAAAAAGGAACTTCTGTTATGATTAATTTTGGATTAATCCTCAGTTTTGTTTAAACATCTCTTCTTCTTTTTTTCTTTACAAATCCCTTTGTGTATATGGAATCATCTATTGATCTTGGTGATAAGCATCAATTTAGTTGATGTTTTCCATCATTTTTTTGTAGTTCTCAGTTACTTTAATTCCCCCAAATGCCCAAATGTCAAGTATTTTTTTTGTTTTAAATCTTGTCTTGCTTAAAAAATATGATAAGTAGAAAATAAGATCGTAAGTACTTAATTTCAGCACTGATTTTTTGGGTCGATTGCTCAATTTCAGGAAGGATGCTGTAAGAAGTGCTGCAGCGCATTGCAGCGCCTTGGAATTTAAGTTTTGAGGCATCCACCTTTTTTGATCAAATAGGACAAGTGGTTGGAAATGGACGGTGGGGAAATCTTCACAATGTGTTTTGAAGCTTAGCCGTATATGAATCTTGCAAGTTGTCAACTTGCACTATTTTTTTTGTATATAAATAAAGGATGCATTTGTGAAAGAAACACCATATTTTGAGGGTGGCTTTTAGACCCGTAAGAATAATTCTCAACACTTGGATTAGATCTACAATCTGAACATTCATAATCACAAAATTGCCATGAGATTTCTCAATAATCACAAAATTGCCACCGTGCAACTTTAGACCATTAGATTATTAACTTATAAAGTTGATCAATGAACATAAATTGGTTTTACCAGTCTCACGAAAAACTTTTGGTCTCACGTGAACCCAACCCTATATATATATATATATATATATATGAAGTTTCTTTCTCCATTTCTAACAAAACCAATTTTTGTTTCTGTTATTTATATTTTACCATTATTTATATTATCATATATCGTCTTTTATATTATCGTTGTAATATTATTGTCATATATTTTCATCATCTTTTATTTATCGTAACTTAAATTATTTTCTTAATTTATCTTAAGTTAGTTATTTATAAGCTTTTAATTAATTGTTGTAATTTCGTTTAGATTATTGTTACCATGTTTATTAATTGTCATAATTTGTTTTATATTTTTCGTAATTTACTTTCGTCATTTATTTTAATTTGTCATAGTTTTTAGTTACGATTACTTTAATTTTTAATTGTCGTAAAACTTTCTTTCTATACAAATTTTTTTCTCGTTTTTAAAATAGATATACAAGGATCTCGAGCGACGATAGGCTGACAACCTTAGCTTGATTGTAGGGTAACGTTAAGATAAAAGATCGACTTTGATGATAGAAATTTGTTAAATATTAACAAATATTTCCAATCATTTATTCAAGATTATATTGATAAAAATTACATCTCTCGTCACAAGTTGATTTTTGCAGAAAAATGTTAACAATTTGATGGATTTAGAGATAAGTCATCCTGAACGCATCAACTTGAATAATACGAAAGTATACCCGAGAGAGTTACTTAGAATCAATGAGCCTTATTTTCATTTGTTGATCCCCTCTCTCAGTGATTCGATGATAATCATTTTTACCTTATACGAAGTATTATTGTTTTTGTTTTTCAGTTCTAGCGATCATCACCGAGTCTGTTCAGTGATCGCTGAGAACATATAATATAAATCCATCAGCGACAGCAATACTTCAAGAAGACAAAACTCACACCAAAGAACCTTCAGCGAAAGTCGAAGACTGAAACTGAATATTAGAGAGTGGCGAGTTCGTGATCTGAAGCGACATTCAGTGATTACAACCTGGTCTACATATGCGTGAAAACTGCCCAAGCCTCAACGAATGCTGAAAAGACCTTCAGGGTTATTCCAGTATTCAACGATGAAAAGAAGCTTGTTGAGCAAGATTGCTTTTGTTTTGTCCTTCCATACACAAAGGACAAACCCATACCCTTTCTAGAGTATACTATGGTACAGAGCCGATTAGTTTGACTCTACTACCCACCAACTCCATGAGAGGATGTCTGCTCATGAATAGGCTTTTGTAGTATTCACTGTAGCAAAGAACAAGTCTTTCTCTAAAGGCTTGATGCGTGTTCGAACCCTAGTACATTGCATTAAATGTGCATTTAATGCAATGTGTATAAGTAGATGTGTTCTATCTCCATGTAGAGATACTCTCACTCTAACCTTAATTCTTACATGCATACGTGAAAGAACACACATCTAAGAACACAATACGCTTATCTTCAAAAGCAAGTTAGAGTCCCTTTTTAAGTATTCTAAATAGTTCTTACCTAGAAAGAACTTACTTTCTTCTTAGTCTTAAAACAACAAATCATTTCTCTTTGCTAAGAACATTTTTGTGTAACTTAGATTGTTTAGATATGTTAATTTTACCTTATCTTTTCCGCAAACAATCTTGTAAAATCTGTATTGATCCTTCTTTAGCAATATATATTTTAAATTTGAAAAGTTTACTGTGTTTATATTCACCCCCTTCTACAAACTGTTTATACACATCTTGTAGACCCTAACGGGACCAACAAATGGTATCAGAGCAATGTATTTCTCTTCTTGTTGTTTAGTTGTTTTTCTGCATTATATTATCTCTTTCTCTAGATAATCTTATTTCTTTCAAATGGCTTTACAAAACACAAATACACACTTTCATGACAATGGCTCTCTTGCCAAACCTCTCCAATTTATCCGAGACAACTTTAGTCTTTGGAAAAATCGGATGTCCCTCTTTCTGGAAGATGTGGATCCTGAAATTTTACACTACATAAAAAATGGACCATATGTTTGTTACGCTATTTCTCCGGCTGTTCCAGAAACAGCTACGACTGCCGTGATTCCTGAACGGCAGATTCCAAAGCTTGTTCATCAATGATGCGATGAAGACAAGAAGAAGATGGCTATAGACACTCGTGCTAGGTCTATAATAGTTATGTCTATTCCTGATGAGGTTTATCATTCTGTGATGAAACTCAGAACCTCTAGATCCATTTGGGACACTTTATTTCTTCAATATGAAGGAACCTCTCAGGTTCAAGAATCGAGAAAGATTAATTTAGTAAGACAATACAAAAGTTTTCTCTGTGGAAAGACTGAGACATTGTCTGAAGTACATCAACGTTTTAATTGTCTTCTTATTGATTTAAAGACTGTCGGTAGGGAATATTCCAGTTCTAAAACTTTAACGAAGTTTCTGGAATGTTTACCTGAGTCTTGGGATACTTATGCCATGTGTCTCAAGATGTCCAATGACATGTCCTCTCTCTTTCTCACACACAACACTCTATATGGGATACTACTCAATCATGAGCAGTCTCGACAGCTGAAAAAGAATCTAATCAAGGATTCTAAAGAAATGAAGAGCTCTCATTTAGCTCTGATCTCTGAAGATGCTTCAGCTAAACTCTCATCATCATCATCTTCTTCTTCTTCTTCAGTTCTTCCTCCTATTGTTATCACTGAGTTAGATTCTACTAACTCTAAGGATTTTTCAGAGTCTGATCTTCCAGACTTTGATGAATCATTGGCGCTATTAGCTAAATCTTTTAGAAGATTCGCAAGAAAAGTAGCTTTCGCATATCTCCTTCGCTGACCATCAAGGATAAGCCAAAGTCTGATAATATAGACAAGGCTTCAGCGATCTGCTACAATTGTCACCGCGAGAGTCACTTTTATGGTGAATGCAGGTCTAAGAAGGCTGTGATGCCATCTTCTAATACCTCATCCTCCTTTAGATCTAAGGATGACAAATACCTGAAGCTGAAGGAAAAGTACAAGAAAATGAAGAGTTCCCAGCAAAAGGCCAAAGGTCTTGTTACTGAAGAGCATGATTGGGCTTATTTGTCTAATGAATCATCATCTGATGAGGAAGACATGGCTTATCTCTGCTTAATGGCCAAGGATGTCAAAGAAGAATCTTCTGAGACGTCAACTTCTCATGATCCCTCATCATCTTCACCTGCTCAGGTATGTCTCCTGAATGAACCTTTTTCTACTTCCTCTTCTAGCCTATCAACATTAGATATGCTGACGATGGACCTTCACAATGCCCTGAATGGCAAGTCTAAAGCAGAAATGCTTAATCTTGATCTTCAAGAACAATTGAAGATTTTTCATTCAAAGATCAAAGAGTTGAATAAGATCGAAGAAGATCTTAAAGATCAGGTCATTGTGAACCAAACCATCACTGTCGAACGCGAACAGGCTATCGCTGAGCGTGAGCAAGCAATTACTGAACTCAGAGCTGAGAAGGCTACGATTGAAGGATGGTGCAAAGCCTCTATCAAGGCCTCAGAAATCATTAACGCTCAGATCCCTACCAAGATAAAGACTGGTCTAGAATTTTCCTATGATCAGGAAGACAGTGTCATTGACAGGTCCATGCTCAAGTTTGGTACCTTTGTCTCTTCTATTCCTGAGACTTCTTCCTCTCAGTTTTCTTTCGCTGAGACTCGTCTTCATGGAACTCCTTCGAGTTCAGGTTGCAAAGACAAGGGTAAATCCATTGTCAAAGCACCTCTTCCCAAGAAGACTAACAAGTCAAATAGATCTAAATCTATTCGTTCAGCTTGTAAACCTTCTTCTTCTTTAGGGACCAAGAAATCTTAATCCTCTCAGAAATCTAAGTCTTAGCTCAAGGTGAATGCTTTACCTAAGGACTCCAAATCCTCATAAGTTCCTCCTAGAACTAATGAGAAGGGAATCCTTGGAGCTGGTCCCTCTTCAAATCTGGTCCTTCCTGGCCCTAAAGCTACCTTCAGATATAGGAAGTGTAAACACTATGGTGAAACTACAAACATTGCCAGTAAGTGTCTTTCTGCCGCCAAGGCTGGTCCCCCAGCCAAGGCAAAAAAGTAGCTAAGACTGAGAAATCAATCACTAAGGTTGTTAAAGCAACCAAAGTGAAGAAAAACCACTGGAGCCTTCTCTTCAGGCTCAGTGAAGAAAACTATTGATGCTAAGCCTTTAGTCTCAGGTGTTGTAGTTCCTACCACTGAAACCTCTTCATCAGGCTCAGTGAAGACAACTACTAACTCTATCTCTCTAGTGTCAGAGGTTGTTACTATTTCCACTAAAACCTCTCCAGGTTCAGTGAAGCCGTCTGCTGACGCTGGTTCTTCAGTTTCAGTAGATGATGCCTCTAACATTGCTAGACCCAGATAGAATGGATACCAAAAGCAGTTTTAAATTGTTTCCTTGTGCAGGAAGTCAAAGGCATATGGTGTCTCGATAGTGGATGCTCGAGGCACATGACCGGAGACAAATCTCTGCTCATCGACTGCAAGAAAGAAAGAGGCCCTTCTGTGACCTTTGGAGGTAACAGAAAAGGATATACCAGAGGTTTTGGTATATTAACCAACGATGTAACCAGTTGCAAGCGTGTTGCATACATTGAAAGACTGAAGTACAATCTCCTTAGCATCAGTCAGCTGTATGACAAAGACTACACAGTGACGTTCTCCAAAAATTCATGTTATGTCTATGACAAGGATGATAAGGTTGCCTTAACCGGTTCTCGTCTAGAGAATGTCTACATCATCAGCATGGATTCTTTTCTTACTGAGAATTGTTGTTTCCTCTCTAAATCTTCATCAGATATCAACTGGCTTGGGCAGAAACGGCTCTCTCTCACCTTAATT